GGGGGGGGGTGCGTAACAGAAAATAATTGAGAAGCACTGGTCTAGGGGAATGGTGACGCAGAGGCTAGAGAAGGTAGGCCTGTGATCTGAAGGTGCCGGTTCAACTCTCTAGACCAACAACAATAAAGTTGGTGGGAAAGGTGAAACACCCACACCAGTCTCCACCATTATTTGTCCCACTCTGAGCAAGACCCTTAACCCCCACCAGCTGCTCCCCTGGGCACCCTAGATGGCAGCTCTCTGCTCCACACAGAGGGCTGCGGTAGCTCGGTGTCTGTGGTTGTGTCAGGAAGGACTTCTGGCATTAAGAAAAAGAAACGATTGCCAAGTCTTGAAGAAGGGAGCAGCAGAAAGAAGAAATGATCATTCACAGTGATCTAGATCAGAACCAACTATAAGGTTTACTACATTTATATAAAAATAATAAAAAATGTTTAGGTTATTGGAGAATATATGAAAACAAAAAGTATTTCTTTAAAAAAAACAACCACTAGCTCTTCGCTCTCCAGTCAAGTGTGTTTGGAGAAGCTATCCAAAGTGTTTTGTTTTTTAACTTTCAGGTTGTCCTTAATTTCCATATTTTGATGTTTCTCTTGGAAAGTTCAGCCTCAAACCCTTTTTGTTTTTTATCTATTTCAGTTATCAGTTATATATTTTAACAGGTTGCTTCCAAAACCACTAAAGCAAACTGGTACCACTTTACAATACGGCTCCCCTTATAGATGCTAATAAATAGTTTATAGATGCATTATTAATTCCTCTATAAACACTTTATAAATCATTAACAACTGCTTATTATGCATTAATTAAAGGTGACAGAGATAAAACTGACCAGTTTCTTGCCAAATAGTTAGTCAAATCTGTTCACCTATATATTTCATCTAGAGTTGTTATATTAAACATTTCAGACTAAGTTACTACCTTGTGCACAATACATATTTGTAAACCTAATGTTTTAGGATACTGGTCAGTTTTGTCTCTGTCACCCTTAATTAATACATAATAAGCAGTTATTAATGATTTATTAAGTGTTTATAGAGGAATTAATAACCTATCTGTTTATTAGCCATCTGTAAGCGGAGCCTTATTGTAAAGTGAAACCAGCAAACTTGACCATCTTGTCACGTTACAAACGCATTTTTCTGTGTTTATTTGCAGGTAGAGGTCAGCCCACTACTCTATGATTACCTCTATTTTGGAACTGGAACGTCACCATTTGAAGCGTTGTTTTGGACAAAGTAAATGATGTGAGATCACCAAGTCACATTCTAGACAAAGCCTGGAATCCTCCGTTTTTTGGACCTTTTTTTTTTTCCTTTCTGAAATGCACCAACAGCTCATTTGGCTGTTTTCAACAGAGAAACTGGATGGACAAGTCAACTGAACTGCAAAGTACTACTGATGTACTTTCTTACCTGTACACCTGTATACACCTATACGTGTAGCATGGATGTATGTCCATGGAGATGTCCTCTTCTGTATGCTAAACACTGAAACTAAAAACTACTTCATTCTTTTTCCTTTTGCTTATCTCCTGCTTCTGTGACTCCACTCCCCAAGTGTGATGCAAAGCAGTCTGCGTTGGATAACCTGAAGTAGCTTGATCATTCTGTTGCCTTACTCATAAATTCTTGCTTATTTTGGGCTTTGTGTTTTTTCGATTTTGCATGAAAAGAGAAAAGAAACCTACCGCTATATAAGTCATTGTGAGTATTTTAATTTCCCTGCATTGGAACTTGAACTATCCCTGCCTTTGTTGTACATTGTTACCACAACTTAGAACTTTTGAAGATCTGCTCAACTCACAGAACTTTTCTCAATAATTAATTTTACAGGAATAAGAATGCACCATAAATCACAATATTTGGATTTTAAATGTTTTACCTTTTGATGTTTTTTAGCTTCATTTCCTTCTCATAGACTGAACCAGTGCCTTATGTAATGAATGCAACAGGGAGATATTACACTCACTTTGACCTCTGAGTCTAGGCACATTGCGCCCATGTGTGTGTGCGTGTGTGCATGTGCGTGTATGCCAGTTGCGAGCAGTTATATGTACTGTACATATGATATGAATGCTGTGTGATTTGACTTGAAGCACAGTTCCATACCAGCAAAAACTTGTTTAATGGGTCAGCCTTTCTCCAGCCACCTCCCCTTTTCTTCCACCTCCTCCCATGACATGAAACTATTTACAGCTTCCTCTATTAATTAATTCAAAATGTCCTCAAATGTCTATTTGTTTGCCTCTGTCACAAGTGTTGCCTCCCCCAAGTGTGAGGTGAATTACCCATCTTCACCCACCTTCATCTAAACACCTCAGCCTCCCAGAAGAACTGAGTTTGTTTTATAACTCTATGTTTATCAATAAAATATTTTAAACTGGTGTTTTTCTTACTTTAATTCTAGCGACTGAAATGCTATAATGCAAATTGCTCAAGAAGAATAAATAAAGTTTTTAGTTCTTGTACATTCTGCCAGTTTGAAACTTATTTGCTGTTGAAAAGAAAAGCACATCGTGCTAAACAATACTGGACACAACTACTGAAATAATACCAGTAAGTTTCAGGTCACCGAATAAATTAAAGTTTTCTGTTAAGAGGCCTGGGAGGTCCAGGAGTGTAAACTTGGAAGAAGGTTGCTCCTATCCTGATTTATGCTCAGTAATCCAGGTAGAAAAATCCATCCATCCATCCATTTTCTTCCGCTTCTCCGGGGTCGGGTCGCGGGGGTAGCAGCCTAAGTAGGGAGGCCCAGACTTCCCTCTCCCAAGCCACTTGGGCCAGCTCCTCCAGGGGAATCCCAAGGTGTTCCCAGGCCAGCCGAGAAACATAGTCCCTCCAGCGTGTCCTGGGTCTTCCTCTGGGCCTCCTTCCGGTGGGACGTGTCCGGAACACCTCACCAGGGAGGCGTCCAGAAGGCATCCTAAACAGATGCCCAAGCCACCTCAACTGGCTCCTCTCGATGTGGAGAAGCAGCGGCTCTACTCCGAGTCCCTCCCGGATGATCGAGCTTCTCACCCTGTCTCTAAGGGAGAGCCCAGACACCCTGCGGAGAAAACTCATTTCGGCCGCTTGTATCCGAGATCTCATTCTTTCGGTCACAACCCAAAGCTCGTGACCATAGATGAGGGTGGGAACGTAGATCGATCGGTAAATTGAGAGCTTCGCCTTTTGACTCAGCTCTCTCTTCACCACGACAGACCTGTACAGCGCCCGCTTCACTGCAGACGCTGCACCTATCCGCCTATCCATCTCACGCTCCATTTTTCCCTCATTCGTGAACAAGACCCCAAGATACTTGAACTCCTCCACTTGGGGTAGGACCTCCTCCCTGACCCGGAGAGGGCACTCTACCCTTTTCCGGCTCAAGACCATGGCCTCGGATTTGGAGGGACTGATCTTCATCCCGGCCGCATCGCATTCGGCTGCGAACCGCTCCAGCGAAAGCTGTAGATCACAATCTGATGAAGCCAATAAGACCACATCATCTGCAAAAAGCAGAGATGCAATCCTAAGGCCACCAAAACGGATCCCCTCAACACCTTGGCTGCGCCTAGAAATTCTGTCCATAAAAGTTATGAACAGAATCGGTGACAAAGGGCAACCTTGGCGGAGTCCAACTCTCACCGGGAACAAGCCCGACTTACTGCCGGCAATGCGGACCAGGCTCTGACACCGGTCATACAGGGACCTAACAGCCCGTATCAAAGGGCCCGGTACACCATACTCCCAGAGTACCCCCCACAGGGCCCCCCGAGGGACGCGGTCGAACGCCTTCTCCAAGTCCACAAAGCACATGTAGACTGGTTGGGCAAACTCCCACGCACCCTCCAGGACCCTGCTGAGAGTGTAGAGCTGGTCCAGTGTTCCATGGCCAGGACGAAAACCGCACTGTTCCTCCTGAATCCGAGGTTTGACTATCCGACGGACCTTCCTCTCCAGAACCCCCGAATAGACCTTACCAGGGAGGCTTAAGAGCGTGATTCCCCTGTAGTTGGAACACACTCTACGGTCCCCCTTTTTGAATAGGGGGACCACCACCCCGGTCTGCCAATCCAGGGGAACTTCCCCCGATGTCCACGCAATATTGCAGAGTCGCGTAAGCGAACACAACCCTACAACATCCAGAGCCTTAAGGAACTCTGGGTGAATCTCATCCACCCCTGGGGCCCTGCCACCGAGGAGCTTTTTAACCACCTCGGTGACCTCAGCACCAGAGATTGGAGGGCCCGACCCAGAGTCCCCAGGCTCCGCTTCCTCAGTGGAAGACGTGCCGGTGGGATTGAGGAGGTCTTCAAAGTATTCCGCCCACCGACCCACAACATCCCGAGTTGAGGTCAGCAGCACACCACTCCCACTATAAACAGTGTTGGTGGCGTACCGCTTTCCCCCCCTGAGCCGCCGGATGGTGGACCAGAATCGTCTCGAAGCCATGCGGAAGTCGTTCTCCATGGCCTCTCCGAACTCCTCCCATGCCCGAGTTTTTGCCTCAGCAACCACCCGAGCCACATGTCGCTTGGACTGCCGGTACCCATCAGCTGCTTCCGGGGTCCCACAGGCCAAAAAGGCCCGATAGGACTCCTTCTTCAGCCTGACAGCATCCCTCACCGACGGTGTCCACCATCGGGTTCGAGGGTTGCCGCCGCGACAGGCACCGACAACCTTGCGACCACAGCTCTGGTAAGCCGCCTCGACAATAGAGGCACGAAACATGGTCCACTCAGACTCAATGTCCCCCACCTCCCTCGGAACATGTTCAAAGTTCTCCCGGAGGTGGGAGTTGAAAGTCCGTCTCACAGGAGACTCTGCCAGACGTTCCCAGCAAACCCTCACAATACGTTTGGGTCTGCCAGGTCTGACCGGCATCCTCCCCCACCATCGGAGCCAACTCACCACCAGGTAGTGATCAGTTGACAGCTCCGCCCCTCTCTTCACCCGAGTGTTCAAGACATGTGGCCGCAGATCAGATGAGACAATGACAAAGTCAATCATCGAACTGCGGCCTAGGGTGTCCTGGTGCCAAGAGCACATATGGACACCCTTATGCTTGAACAAGGTGTTCGTTATTGACAATCCATGACGAGCACAGAAGTCCAACAACAGAACACCACTCTGGTTCAGATCAGGGGGGCCGTTCCTCCCAACCACACCCCTCCAGGTCTCACTGTCATTGCCCACATGAGCATTGAAGTCCCCCAGCAGAACAAGGGAGTCCCCAGAAGGTGCACTTTCCAGTACCCCCCTCCAAGGACTCCAGAAAGTGTGGATAATCTGAACTGCCGTTTGGTGCATAAGCACAAACGACAGTCAGAACCCGTCCCCCCACACGTAGGCGGAGGGAGGCCACCCTCTCATTCACTGGGGTGAACCCCAACACACAGGCACCAAGTTGGGGGGCAATAAGTATGCCCACGCCTGCTCGGCGCCTCTCACCAGGGGCAACTCCAGAGTGGAAGAGTGTCCAGCCCCTCTCAAGGAAACTGGTTCCAGAGCCCGAGCCATGCGTAGAGGTGAGTCCGACTATTTCTAGCCGGAACCTCTCAGCTTCACACACCAGCTCAGGCTCCTTCCCCACCAGTGAGGTGACATTCCACGTCCCAATAGCCAGCTTCTGTAGCCGAGGATCAGACCGCCAGGGTCCCCGCCCTCTGCCACCACCCATCCCACATTGCACCCGACCCCTTTGGCCCCTCCCACAGATGGTGAGCCCATGGGAAGGGGGACCCATGTCTCCTCTTCGGGCTGTGCCCGGCCGAGCTCCATGGGTAAAAGCCCGGCCACCAGGCGCTCGCCCGCGTGCCCCACCTCCAGGCCTGGCTCCAGAGTGGGGCCCCAGTGACCCACGTCCGGGCAAGGGAACATTAAGTCCGTTTATTTTTCTCATCAAAGGGGTTTTTGGGCTGCACTTTGTCTGGTCCCTCACCTAGGACCTGTCTGCCATGGGTGACCCTACTAGGGGCATAAAGCCCCTGACAGCATAGCTCCTAGGATCATTGGGACACTCAAACCCCTCCACCACAGTAAGGTGGCAGCCCAGGGAGGGGGTAGAAAAATCTAACCGAGTTAAGTCAGGTCCTCTGGACGGTTTATTTTTATTGAAACGTTTCGTCTTTCATCCAAAAGACTTCATCAGTGTGAGGAGCCACAACAAACTCAGTCTTGTAAATAGCTCTTCTCATATGGGTCAACCAGTTTGATGGTGCTCAGGTGGTTCCTGTATTCCACCCTCTCCCCCACCGACTCATTTGAGGCAGTCATGGCCAAAGTGGTCTAAAGCACAGTTTAAAATCCAGAGGACCTGCGAGGGTCGCACACTGACTGGTCTGAGTCAAGTAAGTGGAAGTGGACCTTGAACATCCCGGAACAGGCTGGATCAACGACAGGAGTTGAGTTTTGATCAGTAAATGGGTCTGAGATCGTGGCATTTGAAGTTTCAAAATATTTTCTCTGTGCTTTTCATATTTAATCAAAATTTGTCATTCTAATAAATATACATTAGAATATACACAGAGAAGGTCCAACATTGAAGTTGGCCTCTGATTCAAGCTTCTCAGCCAGTTGGGTAAATTTCACAGTTTTTTGTGCATTTGGACTATTATCAGCTTTAGTTCAAAATATATTAATACTTCAAGTTGACAAATTTGAAATATTGTCATATTCAACTAAAAATCAGTCTTGAACTGATTGTAATAAACACAGTTTTACTGTGTGAAATATTTTTGTTGTAGAATAAACAAAGGCCCATTCTAGTGTCTTTTTAGCCTTAAGACCACTTCACATCAAGTCTAGTTCCAAACCCACAATATTTTTTGACAAGTCAAACTGGACATACACTAAATGTATATGATCAGTTTAAGAGCTCTGATTTATTTATTTTAAGTTCTTTAGGACGTTTCAAGAAAAGATGCAGTAATAAAAACAGATTGAAGCAGAGAAAGAGGATGACTGAAGACGGATTAAAACCTACTGTTTTTGAACAGAGGAAGGTAAAACATAAATTATCAAAGCAAAAAGTATAGTTTGAAAATAATTTCACCATAGAGATGTAGACCTCTCTGACAGCTTGAAAGGCAAACAAAATTTCCAAAATGCACACTGTATTTTAAAAGATTTGTCTTTATTGTAGCAAATGAAATATATTTAACCTGGAGTGGATGGTGGAAATGAAAACTGGAAAAGCCCTTATGACTCCTACAGAAACGTAAGAAACTTGCCTGAAAAAAAAAAAGCCAATATATATTTTTTTTAACTTAAAAAAAAAATCGAGCAATTCAACAAATCTTCAACCTATTTATACATTTTCAGTGAGTGAGATCCCCATCCGGTCACAGAATTTGACGAGTTGCGGTTACACCGGAACCGAATCGTCTGGGAACAAATGTTTAGCCGAGAACGGAACAAAAAAACAGGAGGACCGGAAGTTTTATCTCCACCGTTATTTGTGAAGTAATGTTTGCAGTTGAAATTACGTTTTCTTTACAAATAAGAGAAAAGTCGTAACATATGGACTCCAAAGGACCTTTGCTTTATGCAGTATGTATATATGCCGTTTAACTTTACTGGTTGCTATGACAACGTTTATGTATGTTTTAGACAGCCTGGTTGCTAATCCAGTCGAAGCTATTAGCATCACGACTGTGGCGACATTTTTACATCACATGATCACATGACAACAAAGGGTTCATGGACTTTTTAAACCTAACTTTCTTTTCCAGTTTTGTCGTGTTTTGTTTTTTCTATCTATGTAGATTTTTTTGCTTATATATTGGACTTCCTGTACGTAGTAAAGGTGTAAATAATACCTGATTTTAGATCCTTCTTTACTCACCTACACAAATATATGGACAACTTGCAACATATATTTATGGAAAGGAAAACTCAGAGAGAGCAATGTTTTTTTGTACAATACCCAATCCATGTTTTTTTTAATGTTGCTAGCATTTAGTGCTAACTACATCTATTTGATATCTATTTAAGGTGTACATAATGGTATTTTATTGAGAGCTTGGCTCACTTTCTGAAAATCCTGCTCCCATACCATCAATAGACATGGGATGGGGTATTTATTTAGCCTGAGAAAGAAATGGGTGTCCGAGTTGTGGTTTAAGTTGCTCACCATGACAATGTGTTGATGTCAGCATGCAGGTCCATCAGGAGACATGACTTTGAGCACAGAGGAAGACTCATTAGTGGAAGGCCCGCTGATCTCTGCCGATGCCCTCCACTCTGCTATCAGGAGAGAGTTTCAGACCATACCAACAACCTGCCCTGCTGGCCTGCTGTCTCTGCTGCATGTACAATATTCAAATTAGTATTTTTTATCAGTCATTGTTATGATTTACGTGCCTTCTATGCTGTAAATGATGTCATTCCTTTCAAAAATGAGTTGCCAAACCATTTAAAGCAGAAATGCCAATTTTTTGCTCATTCCAGCTTTCCTAATGTAAAAATTTGCCCTTTTTGTCTGTATCAAGCTACGCATTACTTTTAACTGTTAATATTTAATTTAATCAAAAGTATAATTGGCGTTTTTAGTGCTGGATAATTAATAGGCAAAGTTGTAGGAATAACACTGACATTCATTTAGAAACTACAGGTAATCAATTTTTAAAAATAAATGTGTTCAGCTAAAGTCACTGGCTTTATCTGCCTCTTGTTTTCTTGTATTTTTCAGGTACTGTATGTTATATTCTCGACATGTGTTGCTCTGCTGTGTGTGCTGAAGTTTGGCCAGGAGGAGGTGTGCACAAACATTTTGCACGGTGTGCAGGGTGACAGCGTCATTGTGTTCGGGAAGGTGTTTTTGTGGGTGCTGATGTTGTTGTTCAGCATTTGGATGCAGCATCACCACACTCGAGTCCGCAGCAGAGGATACCTGCAGTTTTACAGACGGACTCGGAGACTGAAGCAGCTGCCGTTAATTCTACACTCGATAGGTACAACAACACAAATCATGATCCCATATCTCAGTAGACTGCTTGTTGTAGAAGTTATCCACAAGGTGGCAGTGAAATGTTGGTTTTTTTTGTTTGTTTGAACAGGAAATGTTCTGCTGCTGGCACTGCTGGCCATGAAATTACCACAGAATTTACACATGTACCTGATGCTCAGCATTCTGGGGTTGGAGCTCTTGGTGGCTCTGCCTTTTCTGGTCTACTACACAGGTAAACTGTTATTGCTTGTCCTGACACATGCTCAATAATCCAGATAGATAAATTTAATCAGGTCCTCTGGACGGATTCTTCATCTTCAACAAGGAGTATCCATCTAGAGGACCTGGCTTAACCGTGCTAGATGTTATTGCTTATATTTTAATTTCTAGAAGGATTGAAACTTGACTCTTTTCAAACAAAGCTTGGGATTGAAACCATGCAGAAAAAAAAGACATTAAACAGTTGAGCATGTGCATGTATGTTTTTGCAAAAACAGCAGTAGGGAAAACATTTTTTCTGTAAGACAGCACACACCCACCAGCCTTTTGTAAACATGCATGTTCACAGAGAAATTTTGAGCTTAGTATGAACACTTCTGAAAAAGCTCATAATGAAAAATACAATTTGACTGAACGCTTAAAAAAACACCATGACACCGTCTGAATTCCACTTGCCTTCAGTTTGTCTTGTTGCTCCTGACTTTAAACTTGTAATGCTCATGAACGAAATGCTTTTTTCTGTAGACGCTGAGCGTCCACACGTGAATTAAACATGTGATCCAAGTATTACTCAAATACCGTACTTGCCGCTATACACGTCGCACCGGTGTATAACTCGCATCAGTCCAAATTTGTCTAATAAAGTGGACAAAAACAAAAATAAGTTGCTTTGCTGTATAAGTCGCATCTATTATGCGTCACCGCTGATGCGTCGCATTTGTTACGCATCACCACTCGGATACGTGGGCCAGTGTTGTGCCAAAATTTGTTTGGCTGCCAAATGGCGGCAGCGGGAGCTTGCACAGGAGGACTTTAACAAGAATTTAACAAGATTAACACTTAAAAACAATTATTTGATTGCTTGAAATTATAGCAAAGGTGTGTCTCAGTAGAACTTTTCCTTAATAAATGCACTTTAATGGTCAAATCAGCTGTGTTTCAAGAATCAATTCGCAGCTGCTGGAGTGCACAGAGGGAGGACTTGCTGTGCATTTCTTCGAAATTATAGTAAAGGTGTGTCTCAGTCTAACTTTTCTTTAATAAATGCACTTTAATGGTCAGATCAGCTGCATTTCACCTGGGCGACGTGGTGAAATGCAGCTGATTTGAAGTTTGCTCCAGAAGTTCCAGAGCGAGACAAAGGTGGCTTGGTATGGCAAGCCAAGTGTCTCATTAATAGCCACTTTTATCTATTAATGGGTATATCCTGATGCATGCTCAATAATCCAGGTAGAAAAATCCAAAAAAGTTCAATCTGGTCCTCTGGACGTTCAAAAAACAAAACAAAGCAAAAAAATTTAGAAACGTTTCGTCTCTCATCCAAGAGACTTCCTCAGTCTGAGGTGCTGTTTTCAGCTCAGTCTCTTAAATAGCACCATCTCAGAGTGGCTCAACCAGTTTGCTGCTGACAACCAAAACCAGCTGATCACATGCTCAAGAAGGACCATCAGCCTAACAATGGATCATTAGCACACTGATGGCTGTTTACTACTCACAGAGGGCTGAGTGATACTAGCAATCACAGCATTGTAAGAGGGGGACAGTTGAACCCGGAGGCCTCCACCCCTGTTTAATGATGGACGATTTCTTTTCACAAAGATGGCCTCCTTTACTCCTCTCTCAAACCATTGTTCCTCTCTATCCAGGATGTGAACATCTTCATCCTTGAAAGAGTGACCGCTGGCCTGAAGATGAGCGTAGACCGCAGCAGCAGCAAACTGGTTGAGCCACTCTGAGATGGTGCTATTTAAGAGACTGAGCTGAAAACAGCACCTCAGACTGAGGAAGTCTCTTGGATGAGAGACGAAACGTTTCTAAATTTTTTTGCTTTGTTTTGTTTTTTGTTTTTTTGATTGTCCAGAGGACCAGATTGAACTTTTTTGGATATTAATGGGTATGTTTACATGGACAAATGTAACCGGATCAAATGGCCGGTCGGAATAAAAGTGTGTCATGTAAACACTCCGTTCGGGTTATTTTTTGTGTATTCGGCGCGATCCGATATAATTTGTGATCAGAACGAAATGGGTGGTTTACGCCGATCCGAAACCCGATCGGTGCGCATGTAAACGCTTGATCTGTTCGTTTTTATCTGATAGTGAAAAACTGACCTGACTGCGCATGTGCGACTTTGCCATTTCCGCCTGGCTAACGCTAATAATATTAGCATGTCAGGGGAGCAAAACTGGTCGGTGAGCGACACAACATTTCTACTAGAAACTTTGAAAGAGCTCAAAATGATTTCTCTTACCTGTAGCTCAGTCAGGGAGTGCAGTAGCGTCTCCACCATCATTAAAACCTGTCGCGGGTCCATTTTGGGTGCTCAGGTTTGTTTACGTTCACCCCGGAAGTAGAACTTCTTCTTCGGTGTTTTTTTTAAGGAGTGTTTACCACTCTGCGCATGTCAGTGCTGTTGTTCAGAACAAAGCCCGCTGCATGTAAACGCTCGTCATGAACAGATTGTGCCCATGTAAACAATACATTTGAATTATTCAAACAACACATTTCAATCTGGTCAAAGAATTCTGCGCATGTAAACATAGCTATTGAGACACTTGGCTTGCCATATTACTCGAGGGCCCCCTAGTGGCTGAAAATGGTAGTGTTCAATATTTTCCTTGTCAGTATGAATGAAATTGTCAGATCTCAGCTAAAAATTGGTTTATAAATATTGGAAGAAACATATATTAGTCACTTCGGTGTACAAGTCGCAGGACTTGCACATTTATGCAAAAAGGTGCAAATCATATGCCAGCAAATAAGATATTAAGCACCATTACACATGTGATGATACTAAAGTTGTCCCTGTGTCCCACATCAGGCTGTAAAGGACACAATGGCACAAATCGTCCAGATCAGGACTATCCAACTGGTGGCCCGAGGGCCAAATCAGGCCCACGGATGAACTCAGTTTGGCCCACCATTGGTTTATTTTTTAAATAAAACTAGATTTCAAACCATAAAACAAACTTACTTAATGACAATAACTGCTGGATGTCCGGCCCCCGAGCTCTTGGCTTTCAGTAACTGTGGCCCCCTGAGCAGTTTAGTTGAATAGCTCTGGTCTAGAGGGCCAGAAGTGGTTCTTGGATCACACCAAAGTTCATGCTCATTAATCCAGGTATAAATCCAACAATGTTCAGTCAGGTCGTCTGGACGGTTTCTTTTTTTACTGAGACGTTTTGTCCTTCATTCAAAGGACTTTTTCAATCTGAGAAGCCACCAAACTGATTCCCACAATACTCCAAAGTGGAAAAAAAAAACAATTTGCTGGTGCTAAGATGGCCTCCAGGGCCCGACCTCTCCCCCGTCAACTCCTCCGAGACAGTCATGCCAAAGTGGTTCAAAACATCAAAGTTCAAAGGTTCTTGGATCATTTTCACCTGACCCTTAATGTCCTTACATTAAAAAAATAAGAAAGAGAGAAAAGTAAATTCTATGTGTTTGAGATAAGGTTATCGTTGTAGAAAAATAAGACTCATTCATTCATTCGACCTTTATTTATACAGGTTAGTCTCATTGAGTCACGAGGTCTCGTTCACAAGAGAGACCTGTTTTAAACAAACAACACGGAAGAGGTAACACAACAATAAACATTCATATAAAAGGATATAAAATGAAAAATAAATAAAAGAAGTGATATAAAGCAAAGCAAAACAAAAAACTCACTTATAAGACGCAGATAGTTTCTGTGTGTATTAAAACAGTTGTCCTGTATAGTTCCTATCCGTTCAAGGTTTAATGTGCGGTCATGCAGCTCTTGCTGATGAGTTTAGTTTAAAGGAGCACTATCTAACAATCTCAGACAGATTCTACTGCTTGGATTTGTCTTCTCCCTGGGATAAGACACACAACTAGAACTGGAACTACTAAACAAATCCCTGTTTGTTAGTTCCAGTGGTCATTCTGTTCTGCTGTGGACTGTGGCTGTTTTCTGCAGAGACACACACCCTGCAGATTACACGAGACACAAACTACCCCCACTCTGTTGGAGCAGATTTGCATCACAACACTTGCCCTTTTGCAACTTAACAGCATGACAATCAACCACTCAGCTCCATGTGCATCTTCTGCTGATTCTTTGCTTCAAACCTCTCTGGATGATACCCGTTCTTATCTGTGTGTGTCCTCTTCTTTGTGTTGGAGATCAGGAACGAATTGGTTAAGTTTAGTTGAACTCCATTCAGAAAATTTGGTGTGGTCGAGCAGTTTTGTTGAATATAACAAAATATCATAAAATTCTCCTTTTTTTTAAGTGTCAGTATAAAACCCCTAATTCTGCTTTTATTCACTTTATTTAAACTTGTGGCTTAGGTCCAACAAAAAACTGTGGAAAAAGTGATTCATTTAGAGTTGTGTAAATGACACGACTCCAACAAATCCATCAAAATTATGGTATAGTTTTGATTTCATCGTCTCGAACACTAAAGACATTGTTGCGTTTGGATGACTTAATTAACAAACATATAAAAGGCAGTTTGCATATTTTATTTCCTGATTGTATTTTGTCTGATGACTACATGTTTGCAGTCCCACCTGAAACTTGTGTTATTTAAAATCTGTTAATGCAATACACTAGAAGTTAAACACACCACAAATAAAAGTACAGGATTCTTATGTTCTTACAGTATAAAATACTAATGCACTTAAATGTACTTTTTAGGATTGTATTGAATAAAACAGCTAACATGCTCAAAGTTATTCACATGGTATCTGTCATGATGTCGCCTGGTATGGCTGGTATTAGGAAAACTTGTGTTCAGATGTTATCACAGTTTTTCCAAAAAGTTTTTAGATTTAAATTCAAAATCTTGTTTTGGAAACTTTGAGTTTAAACTTAGTTTGTTCAAATCAGAAGTGCTTTGTAATTAGTTTGTAAAATATAGTTTTACCTTTTTTATTAAGGCTTTAATGGCACAGTTGACCTTTTGATGAAATGCAAAGTTCATCTTAAAGTTTGACTCGTTAGAATGATGATTGTCTGTAAACAATGACTCTTTCCAAGTTGACCTA